TCAAGAACAAGATAAGGTTGCAATCTACAACTATTAGACAATTAATATTAGAATGAAGAAAGATTAATGATACAGACCTTGTGGAGAATAGGGCACTCTTCTCCACTGTCAGAGGCAATGTGATTTGATACAGTCATGACAGAAAATAGCGTATCATGTATCATACCCTGCAACAAATATAATAAGTATATAGGAATTATATAAAAGTATATATACTTATATACATATTATATATACTAAGTATGTAATGTATACTTATAATAAAAACATACATATTAATATCTGTCATATATATGTATATATATGTATACATACATATATATACATGTGTATGTGTGTGTATCTGTGTATGTCATAAGAAATAGAGGTCACATTGCTGCATTTTAACTAAAATAAATCTAATCTGTCTCAAGGTTCTACCCACACTATCAAGTCCACAGTCACGCTGTTCACAATAGCAAAGGTATGGAGCAAATGTGTATGAGTAGATGCATTTTTCTTTCTCTCTCCTTTCATTCTCCTCCCTCCTTCTACCCACTTTGCTTCCCTCCCCGTTTCTCTCTTTTTATCCAGATCCAAGTCCATTGTACTCATCCTCTCATCTTCCACAGTTCTTTTCTATGTGAATACACAATGTGACCAAACAGATATAAAGGGAAAAACATAGGGAAACTGATGAAATATGTTTAATAGAGTACACGAAAACAATATTCTCAGTGGAAAGTTTATTTTTTGGAAAGTCTATTTGATAATACTCATATTTCTATATCGAAGTTGAGAGTCATATTTGATGATCATGTTAAAAAGTGTTTCAAAGACGGTGCCATACTACAAGTGCTCACATAGTCCAGTTGAAAGTGAGGGCATAAGTTGAAGATGGGAAGTTTCATATAATTTTTTATCATATATTTTGTTATAAAGTTAGAATATTTAAAATAGTTTAAGAGTTCTTGATGTGAAGAAGCTTGTAATCACTTCAATAAGACAGCAGTTTATAGGCAACATTCTGGACAGCTGCAGAAACTTCTCAGTAGAAGCCGTAGGACCAGTACCTTCTACAGCACAGTGGGCGGCAGCAGCCATAACCATAGCTGCCATTGCCACAGCCATAGCCACAGCCATAGCCACCATAGCCATAGCCCAGACCTCCATAGTAGCTGCCATAGTAGCACATGATGTCAGGAGTAGACAGTTCAGGTGAAGATTAGTAGTATGTTTTTTTAGTTTGGATGTCACCATCAGCCATGGGCCTTTTATATGCCACGGTTATGGTTGGGGAAACCACAGGCATTGGAGCATCACATAGCTCACTGCTATGCTTCATAAAACATCTTTGAGTGCTGTGATGTACTAGACACACAAGGCTGTATAACTGAGATAATTGTGCTCCTATGTGATTCCACCGTCAAATCATGGAATCTGATTTATTTTTCAACTCTTCATACCATTCTTTACAGTGGATTAGTGAATACATGACATGATTCTGTCAGATGATATAAGTCATTACATAGTTTTCTCCATTTTACATACTTTAAAAATTTTTTCCATTACCCTAGAGAAAGAAAGATTGAATTTTTCTCCCTTTTGTTTAGTTGTTTTGGAATGAATTTTGTATTGAGGAGTAAGTTTATTGTGTCTTTCTCATGAACTATTAGTTAAAAGCTGTTTATTGACTTGGTAGGCATTTGCCGTCTTATATTAATACAGTTGGCTTTTTTAAAGCCTTTTTTGATTATACATTGCTTTAAAATAAGCAGAATATAAAATCAGCAGATAATACCATTTTACGTGCACAAACAGAAAACAAATGTGAAGATATAGTAGGTGTAACTGTAAAAGGCCATGGTCATGCAAGATATATATATATATATATATATATATATATATATATATATATATATATGCCTATATCTAAAAGTCATATATAAAATCTTAAAGAAAAAGGACAATACATAAAATTGAATCTACAAAACTATTAAAACATTACATGAGATATTGTGAGAAGAATGCATATTTGAGGATTAAAATCTAACATCTGCAAAACATGTGGTCTTTTGATTTTAGGTCTCTTTTTAGCTCATTGTTTCAGCTCCATTCAACTGCTACAATTTTCACAATTTCATTTATCCTAACAGTTAGATTATGTTTCACTGCATAAATGTAGCATAGTTTTACTATACATTTATCTGTAGATGGACATTGAGGCAGTCTGTTTCCTGAATATAGTCAATAGATCAGCAATGGTCACTGATAAGCAGGTATAGTAAGATATAAAGACCTTTGTGTATATTTCCAATCTTGGTAAACCTAGATCATGCAGTAGATATATTTCTAAGATCATTTTTTCCTGAGAAATGTTCATACAGATGTTCACAGTGTCTGTACAAATTTGTATTTCCAACAACTGCAAATAAATGTTTCCCTTTCTCTAATCTACACCATCATTTTTAGTCCTTCGTGTTTTTCTTCTATTTATTTTTACTGTTTTATTTATTTACATTCCAACTGTTGTGTTTTTCATCTTAGCCATTGTGACTGAGGTAATGAGAAATCTTAAAGTAGTTTAGAGTGTTTTTATAGCGTTTTTTATATGACTGATGGTGTTCTTCACTGTACAGAGATTTTTAGTTTAATGAGGTCATGTTTATACACTGTTGGCTTAAGTCTTGAGTTACTGTTGTTCTTTACCTGAAATCATTGTCTGTGTCACTGAGGTCATGTGCTATACTTTGTCATACTCCATTTTCAGTATATCTATTTTAATGTCAGCACCATGCAGTTTAAATTACTATATCTCTTTAGAGGTCACGATATCAATGGGTCAATGTACATGTATATGTGGTAAGTGCTCTCCATGGAGGTGAGATAGAATGCAATGTTATCAAGGGGTAAAAGTTATCATGGAACAAGAGGATTAAGTAGGCTGAATGGGGAAATGCAGGAAAGACATCATAACATAGAAGGACCTTATAAGAAAGTTGTACAGATATCTGCTTCTCATGGTGGAAGCTTGCATTCCAAATATATTTAAAATGGAGCACACTATAATGGGACAACAACAGTCACACTAGATAAAACAGGATAACAAATAAAAATGCCACTACTAAAAATATGCTATCTCTTTAGGAATTCTTGACCAGCGTAGCCCCATATACCTCTAAAAGTTACAGGCTATAGATCCTTGAGAATCTGATCACAAGACCTTGTGGATGAAGACATAGTTGAGTCACAGAACATGGAGAACTCAAGCTTGCCCTGACCTCAAACCTTCACCCCCATTGTGTAGCTCTCATAGTGCTGAATGGTAGTATGCACACTACTGGAAGAAAAGTTACATGATAATTTTTAGCTACCTCTAAACTCTGTAAGCTTAAATAAAGTGATTGGACTCCTACTAGTATTCTGATCAATAGACTCAGTTTTAGAGAAACTCCTAAGGATATTGTTATAAATGGTGCTTATTACAGAGACCCAAACTGGACAAAATGCACAAAGTGAAAGTGGGGTATTCTTAAATTCTACTGGAGGAAACAACAGATGACTATAAGGAAACATGTTTTTCCAAAACAGCAGGGAGCTGCTCTTGAGAACTGACAGAAAATGTGACAGCACACAAAAGACCTATTCAAACTTGAGTCAGATCAATTCCAACACGATATGGGAGGTGTTCAAGCATTCCTACTTTAGTGAAGGAGCTGAAGTCATTTGATATCGATTAGAAGACTGAGATACAGTTCCTTTAGGGGTATGGTTCTGGATAGGTCAACTCTAGTTCAGGTGATCTCTACCCATCTTCGATAGTGTGAGCATCATAAATTGGACATGGTGTATTTAAGGTAAAAATAAAATACAGGCATAATGTTTGTTTGGCATATAATGAGTAAGTCTGAGAAGAGAAGGGAAAACATGAATTTTATCCAAATACATTGAATGACATTCTCTAAGAAGTAATAAGAAAAAATATATAGTGTAAAAGGTATTTTGCTTGTTCTCAGATAATAGTGATGTGGAGTCAAATGCTCAGGCAACTGAAAAAATATAGAAAAGTCTGATTGTATTCATGTCAAAGGTTCTGTATAGTAGGACAACACAGAATATTCAATACAAACAGTAACAATTCAAAAGCCAGAATTCAGATGAAATATCTACAGAAAAACAGCATGAAGAAAATTCATTGATATTCATTGATATTAAAATGAATAGAGAGTCATCATATTAATTTTCGCTAAAAAAAAAATCACCAGATGACCAATGGTGAATTTTCAAAACTGTAAGTTAAAGTCGCAACGATATTGTTTCATGTAGTTATTAATAAAATGGATAATAAAAAATGGGTGTTAGAGAACATGGTAAGGTAAGGAAAGCCTGTACAAGGTGAGATTGAGTATGGCGACACTAATTGTAAACAGAACTGTGGAGATGGTAAGATATTTAGAAAACTAACTTCTGTTAGATGCCAGCATTTAAGTTGCAGACAAAAGGATTTGCTCTCAGAGAAATATCTGTACTCCTAAATTTATAATGACATCACAGTAGTGGATATATGAAGATAATAAGGGTGTCTATCAATAGAAAAATGTTTAGAGTGTAAGTTTCAGTCTCTGTTCCATCTTTCTGTTTCATTCTCCATTTAAAATATCACATTTGTTCACAAAGAATCACACATTTATTAACAGATATAAATTCACAAACATACATTTCACGTTTAGTGAAACAATAAGAGCAAAGTATTTTCAAGGAAATAGTTTATTTTAAAGCATATGCATATATTTACAATATGGGAAAAGTATATGAGCAAATAACACTTTACAAGGCATTATGATGACATTAAAGAACTTTGCTGCAAATAACATGCAATCCAATTAAAGAAGGGGGATTGGGTGAGCATGTTGTATTTCATGTATTATTCCTCAGAATATTCAAATAAAGTTTGAAATTCATGAAAATGTTTAAGAATATTTGGAGTGAAGAAATTTGGAGTGAGCAGCTGCTGAATCTCCTCAATAGAAGCCACAGGACAAGTATCTTCTACAGCACAGTGGGCGGCAACAGCCATAACCATAGCCACCATAGCCACAGCCATAGCCACAGCCATAGCCACAGCCATAGCCACAGCCATAGCCACAGCCATAGCCACAGCCATAGCCACAGCCTAGGCCACCATAGCCATAGCCCAGTCCTCCATAGTATCTGCCATAGTAACACATGTTGTCAGAAGTGGAGTGTTCAGAAGAAGACAAGCAGTAGGTTAATTGTGTCTGCTGTCACCATATACCAAAGGCCTTTTATACACCTGGGTTGTTGTTTTGGAAACCACAGACATTATAGTGTCATACAGCTCTGCACTGTGCTGCAGAAAACACCACAAATACTGTGAGTTACTGGACAAACAATGCTGCATAGTTGAGATACTTGTGCTCTTACCTCAGGGTCTCATGGTCAAATAATGGATCTGATACAATTTTCAAGTTTCTAGGTCTTTTTCATGTAGTTTACAGAGTACAGGACATAAATAATTACCTAGTTATCTTCTTTTTACATGTGTTTGGTTTTCACTATACCAACAAAAGAAGGTCAGGTTATTTTCCTTCATTTATTTATTTATTTTATTTTAACTGAATTTTATCTTGAGGTTTATACATTTTTAAGTCTTTCTTATGATCAATAATCTAATTATTAGTTGTGTTATTTGTTTCTTTTGTATAGTTGGCCTTATATATCAATCTGTATTTATTAGTAGGTACTTTGTTTTATTACAGCTTGCTTTTAAAACCAGCAGAAAATATAAGACAATTTGTGTTCATCAACTATATGTGCAATGTTTCCTTATAAACCCATCTGAAGTCTTGTAGATGAAACTGTGAAGGGCATTATGGTTGATTGAGTGAACCAAAGTAAGAACTTGTACACTTCCTTTTAAATCATGATCAAGTTAGCTCTGCAGAAAATCATGGTCATACAACTTTTGAGTTTAATAGCCAGGTGGATGATTGCTTGCTATGCAAGCATAAGAATTAGTTAAAAACCTCAAGAATCCATTTAAAAAACCTGGGTATATTCAAATTCCTACACAGCAGTGTTATTTGCATCAGATACTGGAGGATTGCAATGACTTACTAATTGTCAGTAGCTCCATATTCGATGAAAAAGAGCTATCTCATGATAGCAAAATTGGTTCATAGAACAAAGAACAAGACACAATATATTCATTTGGCTTCTACACACATCCATCATCTACTAGAATACATTTGTGCTTACACCACACACATACAAGACACTAAATACATGAATTCACACACAAACATTGACATACATTTATATATACACATATATATTTTGTTTCGCACACAAACACAAATTCCATGGAAAATTCCCAGGATATGCTTCAGGATATGCATATAAAGCAATCACAAATGTTTACATGAGAGTCTGACTAAAGTCTTATAAGAAAAGAAACAACAGGGCCTGGAGAGATAGCTCTGTGGATAATAGCATTGGCTGCTCTTCCAGAGGTCTTGAGTTACATTCCCAGCAACCACGTGGTGGGGCTTACATCCAGCTGTAATGGGATCTGATTCCCCCTTCTGATGCACATGAAGATAGAGGCCACATATACATAGAACACATAAATAATTCAGGTTAATAAAACACAATTTAAGACATCCTTAGGAGAGACAAACATATATGTCAATTCATAAACTTCTACAACATTATATAGGGTATTCTAAAGGGAACACACACACACACACACACACATATATATATTTGAAGATTTCAAGTTCATATCCACATAATCTGTGACATTTTACTTTTTGTTCAATAACTCATTGTTCCAGCTCATCCATTTAGCCACAATTTCACAATTTCACTTTTCCTATCAGTTATGTTACATTCAATTGTGTAAATATAAGATGACTTGATATATACTTATCTGTAGCTGCACATCAAGGCTGTCTGCATAGCATAGCTGGCCATATTTTTGTTTGCTTTTTAGTTTCTTTCTTTCTTTTTTATTATTTAGGAATCTGTGGTATGTCTCTCAGCGTTGGTATTTGTGCTTGGGATCAGCTGTTGTTCTTTGTTCTCCATTCCTTTCCTCTTGGTGTCCAAGCACCTCTGCACATCAGACTGGAAGGATGAAGTGGAATCCAGAATGGGTGGGGTCAGGAAAATTCCAGTCCAGCTGGTAATGAGTGCAGAAGCTAGTAGTCTTCTGGTGGGTATTGGTTCTAATGCTATGTCTTAATTCATCTCCCAAAAGCTGTGCTTCCAGACCTGATGGTCCTTGCTCCATTTTGGCTTTGATTGGTAATAAAAAACTGCCATATAGCCAATGGCTGGGCAGGGGGACAGAGTCTGGACTTTTAGATTCATTGGGCAAGAGACTAAAGTCCTCCTGATGGTAAAGCAGAAAAATGAAACTTAAAGGCCCACCAGTATAAGAATTGGGAAAGTGGCTCTAGGGGCCACTTCCCAGATTGTGTTTGTGGTAGCAGAGATGAAAGATAGATTTTAAAAGATGTTAACTAAGGAGTGGGGAGTATTTGCTAGCTTTGGGGAAGTTTAAATGTCCCAACCATTGAGCTAGTCAAGCATATCAGAATTAGCTGGTGTATGTCTTTCATTCTTAAATCCAGTGCTCTTGGGCAGGTGTAGCCCATATGACCTTCTGGGAGCCAAAGTAGATTAACTAATTCACTGCTACAGTATTCTCTGAAAATTTTCAAGAACTAAATCTCTTATAGGATCTTAGTTTGTGTGCATACCTTTATTTGGGGCAAACCAGGGCTATATATAAACATTGGAGAGTGTGATGGAATTTTCAGGAGTAGATGTAAGAATCATTGGCTAGACTTTCAAGTACTGTGAGTCTGTCATTTGTGTGGAGAGACATTCTTGGAATCCTAGGTTCAAAGGGTTCTTATGAGGAGAGAGGAGGTTGAACTCATAGGTTTGCCAAGGACTACTCAACTACTCAACCATTTCCAGGTAGAGGGTGTTGGGGGTTGGGTCCCTAGGCAAAGTCAGAGAAGAGGAAATCCTGCTGGTAAAAGGATTCCTTTCTTCATTTTGCGCTAAGCTCAGAGGAGCTATCCAAAATGATAGATTGAGACTTAAATTAGCAGGGTTTTCCAACAGGAACCTTCACACCAGTTTCCACAGTGGCATACTAGTTTATAATCCAACCTACTATAAATAAATATTTCCTCTTCTGCAAGTCAAAAGCAATATTTCAGTCAATTGTGTTTCTCATTTTATCCATTATGACTAAAGTAAGAAGCTTCAAGGGCATTTGATTCATAAATTTCTCAGATAACCAATCATACTAAACAATTTTAATATGTTTCTTTATACTTTGTATTTCATCATTTGAGAGAATACTGTTCAGTTCTATACAATATTTATATTTGAGTAGTTTTTTTCTTGATCTTTGGTTTTTGAGTTCTTGGCATATTCTAGATACTAGATACTTTGTATATTCTAGGTACTCTTTGATGTACAGAAGTTAAAGTTTTACCATGTACTTTATGGTTTTCTTTACTTGTATGATGGTGTTCTTTACAGAGCTATTAAGTTTTATGAAGTCACATTTATAAGTTGTTGCTCTTAAGTCGTTAGTTATTTTTCTAAAGCACTTTCTGTGGCAGGTAGTTAATATATTTCTTCAGATTTCATTGACTAGTGCATCTATTTTACTGTTAGTAGCATGCTGTTTACTACTATATCGTTCTAGATGTCAATTTATTATTAAAGGACTATGTGTGTGTGTGTCTGAGTGGGTGTTCTTGGAGGAGTTGAGGTAGAATGCAGTGGCCTTAAGGGGTAAATGTGATAATGGAACAGGAAGGGTTAAGTGGGTTATTGGATAGAAATGAAAGAAAGAAACTATAATTAATACTAAGGACCTTACAATAATGTTGCATGAAAATCTGCTTGCCATTGTAGAAGCTTCCATATATATGTATATTCTGTACATATGCACATGACCTATTACTACTATCTTGATTTCTATGAGTTTATATTAACAAATACCACGATACTCCATATATTGGAAATAGATGCATTGGCTATGGTTATTATGATAAATATTGTGGAATGGATATTGTTTATCTTTAGATTGGAGAACCTCTCTACTTTGACCAGCACTATGCCAATTTGGAGTGTATTGTGGTTATTACAGAGATACTAAATGACAAACTGCATAGAATAAGACTTGTTTTTAACACTACTTGAGAAAATAACAGATGACTACAAAACTGCTCTTATGGAATCACAGAGATTGTTGAAGAATGCACAAGACCTGTACAAGCTCAAGCCAGAACAATTCAACATGGCAGTAGGTAAACCCACATTTCTAATGTTAGGTAAAGTGCTGTTGCCATTTGATAGCTGTTAGGATGTGGAAACTCAGTTTTTTTTTAGGGTGTGGCCTTAGGTAGTTCAGCTAAACTTCAGGTGATGACTACTTATCCTAGAGAATGTAAGTATCTTAATTGGTCATGATGAGATTAAGGAAAAATAGTACATAAAGCATGCTGGGCATAAAATGTTTGAGTCAGAGAAGAGAAGGGGAAAAACCTATGAAATCTATTCAAATATATTGTATGGAATTCTATAAGAATTAATAAGGAAAAGAATGTACATTTAAAAGATTCTTTGCTCATTCTCACAAATAATTGGATGTGAATTCGAAAGCTCAAGCATCAGAAAGGAAATAGAAAAGTCTGATTGTACCCATCCATCAGGTTCTTCATAGCAGAACAAAACACAGCCTTTAAAAAAAAAAAAAAAAGAAATGGAAGCCCAACACTCCAAAATTCACGTGAAGTATCTACAAATAAACAGAATGAAGAAAATTAATTGATATTAGAATAAAGAATCGTCATAAATATTTTCCTAAAGAAAATCTACAGATGACCAAAGGTGAATTTTCAAAATTATAAGTTAAAGTCACAATGATATTGTTCCATATAGTTATTAATAAAATGGATATTAGAAAGAAAATGGGTGTTAGAGAACACATGAAGTCAAGAAAACTTCTACACTGTGATATTGTGTATGATGACACTCATTATAGGTTTTGTAGAGACTGCAAAATGTTTTGAGAGCAAACTTGTATGAGTGCTCTAAATGTAAGTTGCAGACAAAAGGATTTGAAATGGCAAAAGCCATCTAAGAGAAGCTAAAAACTAGTAAGCAATCTCCCTGAGATTGTTATGCCATAGACTAAAAATATGATGGAATTGCTCCTTTTGGCAAGTCTGGGGATATTGTATTTGAAGAAAGATTCCTATATGCTTTTCATGTTGTTACTAAATATATAACAATCACTAGGTATTGACCCACCCTTTTGAACAGATTACTGAAGACCTATGAAGATGTACTGTCTTGTAGTAATGCTATAGAGACAAGTAGATAATGATTTTATAGAATTTCTGATTTGATTCAGATAATTTTAGAAAGAAAGTTTTTAGAGATGGTCTTAGTTGCTAGGAAGATTAATAAAGTTAGACTCAGGAATAGAATGTGCCCACTCCTCATAATAGTAAGTAAAGGCTGAATAATAAGAAATACAGTAAGATTTCATAATCACACTAAAAGAGAAATAGATTTAGGACAAATTTGTGTCCAAGGAAAGACATTTAAGTTCAAGGATAAAGTCATAGATATACATCATGGTGAGGCAAGGTCATGCAAAAACTGTTTCTTTGAACTTATAATGAGCATATAGAATGAAACACTGCTTTGAACTTAATATCAACTCCCATTTTGTGTAACATTTTATTTCTGGTGTAATTTTCTAAAGAACTTTTTGTCTAAGAAGTCATAAAAAGACCAGAGTAAAGAAATAAAGTTATTGGTTGGATGGTTTGGCATTGAGAGCTCTGCCTCATCCATTCTTCCATCCATCCATCCATCCATCCATCCATCCATCCATCCATCCAAATGAATATGTCGTTTGCCTATATGTATGTGTGTATGTATATGTATCTATGTAAGCATGCATGAATACTTGTGGAGTTGATTGTGGAGTTGGTCAGGCTTGGCTAAAGTGTGGGTGTATGTATCTGTGCATGTCTACCTGTATAAAGCATCTTACTTCTAATTTTTTTCTTCTGCTCTGGTTCAACAAGAGCTAACCAACTTAGCCATATAGGCTTCTGGCTGACTAATTATAGAAAAGAGCACTAGCAATAAATCCTTCTACTTGGTCCCCTGCTGTTTTACTATGAGGTGCTAAACATGAGAGTCTATAGTCTCTGCCCTCAGAGGAACTCAGGCAGGTCAGATACCACTGCAAAGTAACTTAGAGTTAAGGCAGGTAAACATTTTATCATAGAAAAGTCAACTCTAAATAGCTTAAATAACTTGTAAGACCAAATCTTGCCCATCCAACACTCAACCCTCGGTGGCTACCTTAAAGAGAAAACCTGAAAGAAGAACCACAGGAGTTGGCATCCAGCAAAGAAATATCTTCACTCACAAATTCATAGTAACACCACAATAGCAAAAATATGAAAATATCAAAAATGTCTACCAATAGAAGGATGTTTACTAGAATGTCTCCTTCTGACCCCCATTCTCTCTCTTGCCTTCTCCCTTTAGTATTGCCACATTTGTCCACAAAAATAAAAAAAAAATAACACATTTACAATCAAACTGGCATAAATTGAAAAATGCACATCTCATATTTAGAAAAAAATGAGAAAAGAGTATTTTCTACAAATTAATTTATTTGAAGCATATATATGTAATGGAAAAAATAAAAACAGATCACGTTCTCCAGGGCATTATAATGACAATGAAGAGCTTTGCTGCAAATATTTATGCAACCAAGTTGGAGAACAGGAGTAGGATGGATATGTTGTATTTCACTTATTATTCTTCACAGAGTTGAAATTAAGGTTGGAATTTATGAAGATATTTAAGATCACCTGAAGTGAAGAAAGTTGGAGTGAGCAGCTGCTTAATCTCCTTAGTAGAAGCCACAGGACCAGTACCTTCTACAGCACAGTGGGCGACAGCAGCCATAGCCACCATAGCCACAGCCATAGCCACAGCCATAGCCACAGCCATAGCCACAGCCATAGCCACAGCCATAGCCACAGCCATAGCCACAGCCATAGCCACAGCCATAGCCATAGCCTAGGCCACCATAGCCAAAGCCCAGGCCTCCATAGTATCTACCACAGTAACACATGTTGTCAGGAGTGGAGTGTTCAGAGGAAGACAAGCAGTAGGTTACTTGAGTCTGGGAGTCACCATCTACCAAGTGCCTTTTATACACCTGGGTTGTTGTTTGGAAACCACAGGAATTATAGTGTCACACATCTCTGCATTGTGCTGCAGAAAACATCATGAATGTTGTGATTTACTGGACAGACAATGCTGCATAGCTGAGATACTTGTGCTCCTATCTCAGGACCTCATGGTGAAATAAAGAGTCCAACATAATTTTCAGGTCTCTAGGAAATTCTTCATGTAGTTTATTGAATACAGCTCATGATTCTCTCGGATAATATAAAGCATTACATAGTTTTCTTCTTTTTTACATATGCTGTGTTTTCATTACCCCAATAAAAGAAATTCAGTGTTCTTCATTCTTTTTTGTTATTTTGAATGAATCTTACCTTATTCATTGTGTCTTTCTCATGAACAATAAGCATCATGTTATTTGTTCGTGGTGGATAATTGTCATCCTATATTAATGTGTTTGTATTTGTTTTTAAGAACTTTATTTTATTATATCTTGATTTTAAAAATCAACTGAAAATATAAGACCATTTATATGCATAAACTATATGTGTTATGTGTTTCCTTTTGAAAGACCACATGAAGGTCTTGTAGGTGTAACTTTTAAAAGCATTATCGTTGTTTGGTTGGACCAAGGCAAGTATTTATAACCTGTTAAAATTGTGGTCAAGTTAGCTTTGGAGAGAAATGATAAACATGAAATTTTATGAGTTTGTGCAACAGCAGGGGAAATAGGTCAGTGTATAAGATTACTTGCTGTATATACATGAGGACATAGTTCAAAATCACTAGAATACAAGTGAAAATTTGGATGTATTTACATTATACATTCTAGTGCTACATGGTAGAATACAAGAGGATCACTATGACTTACTTGTTGTTAACCTAGCAAATTGTTCCCTGATACAGCCAATCTCATGGGGATAAAGTAAGCAGATCATTCAAAGAACGTGACACAATATGCTCACTCAGCAACTGTATTCATCCATTCATTTATTCAAACACATGTGTACTTATACCACACACACATATTACACAGAAATACATACATACATACATGCATACACATAGTCATATGAAATAAATGCACATACCTACTCACAGAAATTCTATGGACAATTGCCAGAATATGCTTCAGTATATTCATGCATGGCATGCACAAAACTTAGATAGAATTACCAGTCTATTCCCCTCAAAAACAAAAGCAAAAACAAAATATAAACAAAACCAATTGTATAGCCTCTTTAAAAAATACCAAGTCAGGCATGTAAACTGTTTCTCTGTTTGTAGCTGACAGAGAGAGTATTGCTATGAAAGGTGAAAAGCATCACTGACAAACAAACTTCAAACTTTTCACAAATTAATCAAAATATTTGTTGAATAACATAAAACATTCATAGTTTCACATTTAGTTTAGAGTTTTACAAAGCAACAAGTGTATATAAATGAGGTGACATCATGGTAAATACATTGTCCAAAAGACTTCCTTCTGATTTTGCAATGTCCAATCTGAAATTTTTTAGGCCCTCAAGTACTATCAGTGGTATAATTGTGATTATTAGCTAACAAAACCAGTCATTTCTCCTGTCTGTCTGTCTGTCTGTCTGTCTGTCTGTCTGTCTTCTGTCTGTTGACTGTCTGTCTCTCTTAGATTTTGGAAACAGGATTTCTGTGTGTAACAGAGTCCTAGCTGTGTTGTAACTAGCTTTGTAGGTCAGGCTGGTCTCAAATTCACAGAGCTTTACCTGCTTCTACCTCCTTAGAGATGGAATTAAAGGTTTATCTAGCACATAAACCAGTTTTGAATGTATAAAGATGAAGAAGAGATCAGGCAGTTTCAAGGTGGTTTGGAAATCTGCTTGCCACTGTAGAAGCTTGCATTACACACACACACACACACACACACACACACACACACACACACACACACACACA